GTCTTAAATTTTTACATTACCTCTCATCTCCTTAACTCACCTACTCCTGTAAAGCCAACCAATTTTCAAATCAACAGAGTCATAAGTAAGGCAAGATTCATTTAATCATGCACAGCATACTTATCAGTATGAATTTCCTGCTAGCAAAATTTTTTAAAAGTTTTTTAGCATATTTGAAATGTAGATAAAACATAAGCAGGGTCTGAAGTTAATATTTGGCACCTGGTAGACCCTAAGCCCATTACTGTATTTACATATTGACATTTTTAGTGTGTGACTTTGAAATCACATTGGCCTGAAGCACAATGTTATTTACATTTTCTGAATGTCAATGTTACCAATACCTGTAGCACATCATTAAAATTTGGTGGGGATTGTATTGTTAAACAGTTTAAATATTGCATTGGAATTGACAATCAAGGCAGCAAAGCTGTCAAATGTACAGACAACAGGAAAGAAAAATAGTCCAATTAAGCTTGATTGCCTGTTGAGCTGTATGTCAATCATTCTTGTTACTTACAAAATAATATGTTTAAAACAGGTTTCCTTTCAGAGCATTTGTAGTGGCTNGTTACAGTGGCAGGACGCAAAATGTTTTTTATCAATTTTGATAGTGTTTTATAATGCTTAACAGCTTATAATCACCATCAATTTTAAATTATACACTGCAGTACCTTAGATATCTAGAAAATGTGACAAGCAAAAGTCTTCAATCCTAATGAAATTCAGTCACACCTTGAAAATGCCAATATGTGCACAAGGGGAGAGGGGTTATTAATGCCTTGACTGACTTATTGTTCTGATCTTTTTATGTTGTGGTAATTGATAAGTTAACAAACAGCACTTTTTTTTCAGTTGCTGTGGAAAGATGTCAAACTCCAAGTTTGCAAGCCTGAAGATTTATGATGGATGTCTATAGTGCACTGAAGACTTGAAATTGATTGAAAAGCACTTTTTATGCTGTATATTATGATAAACCAAATATTTTCATCGAGTAAAAAACTGCAGGACATTGCCAACAGTTGGATTAAATACTACCACATACCTACAGATGTATACAACAGATATGGATTTGACACAAAGAAAAACAAAATTTCAAAACTTGCCAAGACACTGAAGAAATTTGCCTGATGATGTTACAATATCAGTTTTTGTAAAATTAAAAGTGTAACATTGACTGAACTGGAAATTTCATATTAACTTTGTGCACAGTGTCTCAAGAACTGCAGTGCCACTTGAAATCAGTTGTAAATCACTAGCACAGGAACATACCTTTGTTTTGTTTGTCAGTTTGTTCAATAAAGGACTCGCGGCTAGCTTAAAAATTTATAAATGTGTCATGTAAAATTTTTAATTTAAAATATATATTATATAGTTCTATGTACTGTTGCTGTTATGCTGATTTAGCTCCAGTTCATAAATACCATTCCTAACAATACTTGAATTTGACCAAAAACAATTTATCAACACACCTGGCAAAATGTTTTCTACAAATGAAAAAAAAAAAAGAATATAAAATTGCAGAATCTTTATTACAGAGTACATTCTTCTTTCCTTCAAGTATAACAAACATTTTTTGAGAAATCACAATTTCTAAATTGAAAGTAACATCTATAGTATATACCTTCTCTTTTTAATTTCATCTTATACCTCTCACTGTTGTCTTTTTTAAAATGAAATAATATAAATCATCTTTCAAAATGTTATGAAATAGATATTGCAATAACTGTCACTGCAGTTGTATGGAATTGTGACACGATTGTGTTGAATATGGGGCTTAACATTTAAACGTAGTCAAAGAACAGGATGTGTAGTCCTGTATCCTCTTGAAGCTTTAACAATATTACCCTACAGACTTTCACTATTGGGTCAAAGTCTGAATCACTATTTCAACATGAGTAAGTGATATGTACGGAACTAGAAATTAAGGCATAGTCACATTAAAGATTCTACACTTTTCAAAGACCATTTATTATCGAATTCAAGCATAACAATGACTATTTGGTAGAATCAAAGAAAAGGACTGGTTCTTCTCCAACAACAGCTGCATTATGGACTGTATTTTTTGGCACCTCAACCATGTCACCAGGCTGCAATATGACTTCCTGTCCATACATCCCAAATTTGAACTTCCCAGAAACTATTGCATCTTTCTTTGAGATACTGTGGGTATGATCTGGAAAGTTGGTTCCAGGATAGAAGGTATATGTCGTACACATGTAACCTTGAGATTCAAGCTTCTTCTTCATGCTGGCTTTACTTAAAGGACCATCTTTTACTGAATCCCAATGCTCCACTTTGATTGACATTCTGAAAAGAATATTGAAAGGAATGTAAAGTTTCTCAATAAATAGCTTTAAACAAAAGATATCTAGGAGGACATTCACAACAGATGATCCTTGGATCTAAGATCGCATTCACAACGAGTTGAGCCAGGCTTTACAAATCCTGGGAACTAAATATGGCGGTCATACATGAAAGAAAAACCGCCTAATCTTTTAAAAGTCTCTCTGCCTCTCACACGCCTCCCCACACGTCGTCCCTGCGGGGGGACAGGCATTAAATCTCGGCTCCATTGGGACGACACATGGGGAGGCGTGTGAGAGGCGAAGAGACTATTAAAAGATAAGGCGGTTTTTCTTTCATGTATGTCCGCCATATTTAGTCCCCAGGATTTGTAAAGCCTGGCTCAACTCGTTGTGAATGCGATATAAAGATCTGCGGATCACATATGGGGAGCCCTACATGAAAGAAGAGCCGACGAATCTGCTGATGGTCTCACCGCCTCCGCACACACCATTAAATGGATTAAATCACAGCTCCAAGGTTTAATTGCTAGATCCCTGCAGAATGCCACATGTGAAGGCAGGGAGACCATCAGTGGATTAGTCTGCTCTTCCTTCATGTAGGGTCTGCCATATATGGTATGTGAATCTGTAGATCCAAGGATCACTTCTTGTGAATGCCCTCTAGGTAAGATAACAATGTGGTATGTTTTAATTGGAAAATTACCTAGTTACTGTAAGTAGATGATTTAAATCATGTAGGTGAATGCAGGTTTCTTCTCCTTAAAAATTACTCGCTAATAAGTAAATACTTGTAGTTGTACTCATATGCAATAGCCCAAAGTCGTAACTCAACATAAAATCAAGCCAGATTTTGCAGGATTTGGAGGAGTGGGGTCAGAAATAATGTAAATATGCATTTGAAGTCAATTTTATGCCACAAAACCTGACCAAATGCCACAATATAGTTTCAAATCATATAGCTTAGCAAAAGACCAAATGAAAGCATTTCAAATGCCTGAAATGCCTGAAAATTATCTTTGAATGGATTGCAGCAACAAATAAAATCTGACAAAGTTTATCTACATATTTATCTGGTTGTTTTATTTCTCTTTAAAGAATTAAAAATTGCGTACAATTACAGTATTTTGTACAACAATAGGGGTTTACTTTACATTTTGTGGGTTACTTTTTTATTGCTCTCTATGACTACCAGTACATAGGCAAACTTTTTTTTTTTTTTGGGGGGGGGGAGGGGGGAGGGGGGACGAGATGGCACGTTCTGCATAACATATAGCACAAGGTAAGTACCGCGACTTATTTCATGCATTGAGCTGCTTGGACCAAGCCCCTGTTCACCTTGATAGAATAAAGCGAGCATTAACGCAGTGCGCTGATAGCGAAAATGTTAGCAAAATCACCTTAATGTATACTTAAGAGTAAAATATATACAGTACTGCTTCAGATACAGGCGAGGGGTCACCACACTGAGCTGTCACCTTGGAAAGGAAAATCCAAATGAAACCAAAGTCACGTAGATCGACTTCAAATGACCCAATGTTGCCCGAATAAACCTTTAGAGCCTTAACGGTTTTATACTTAACAACATACCTTCTCAAAGGTAAACTGGACCAGCTAAGGACCACGCAACAAACATTAGCATTACAAGTTCTCAAGGCCGTCAAGGTGCCATTTGACCATCTGTAGGGAAGTTATATTTTGATTGCGTTAGGTGAGCGTTAGCTGAACTTCGACAAGAAAGCTCAGCAAGCACAATATGATATCATAGCTGCTATTACACAAACCTTTGAAATCCCATTAACTCCTACTGTAATATATATATATATATATATATATATATATATATATATATATATATATATATATATATATATATTGTTTATATGTTTAAGGTTGAAACATTACCACTCAAGCCAAATAAATAAGTATATGAATAAGTAAAGTTGAAATAAAAGCTACACAAGCGTCACTGTAAGGTGCTGCCATCGGGCGGCTCACATAGGCACTAAATGCATTGGGTATGGGGTCTTACAAAATTGACATCTAAACGCAAAACATTTATCTACCATGCAAACTAAAGAAAAATTATCAAATGAATTTTGAAAAGTTATACAAAATGAACGCCTGAAACTTATTTCACCATTGTGTCTTGATTTTACCAAGGAGTTATAACTTGGTTTTACCAAGGAGTCTGTTATAACTCCTTGGTTTTACGTAGGCCTACCGGTAGGTCTATCCATTGTGAAAAACGGGAGAATTTGTTGTTTGACATTGACAGAGATTTATACACCATAGATTGCTGCAATCAACACTACACACACACACACACACACACACACACACACACATTGCCAATCATTTTGAAATCATCAAATTGTGTTGCACATTTCATTTAATCAGAACTTGGACAAAATTATGTAATATTTGGGCAAATAATTTTATTTTCACCTTATCAGTACTTCCTTGATGAAATATTTATAATGATGATGATGATGACGACGACGACGACAATGATGATAAAGCAGGCGAGGCAAAATAATTTCAACACTAGACTAAATAATTAGTCAAATTAATCTAATTAATTAAACAAAGAGTCGTTTCATTTCAGATTGATCATCTTTGAAAACCGCCTTTTACGTGGGGCAACTCTCTGTACACATCATAGTGTAGTTTGCTTTTCGTATATCCCCTTGCTCTGTTGACAATATTTTCCTGCAGACAGTCTAATACAACTGGATCATACTCTGTATCGAATTTGTTCGCAAAAAGCTCCGTTCTCTTCAAAAGCCATGGCAAGTCCAGTAAAGAATAAACACAGATGCCATGCCTGTAGAGTGGTCTAGTGTCATTGTTACATTTCTCGTTGTCCCATTTCCAAATCACTGCCCTGGAAATGTGGGTGCCCTTAGAATGATCCACTCCGTACGAATACCCCCCAGGAGCGTCTGGCTGACGGACGAGTGTGGCCCAATAGACTTCTTCAGGTGCCATGGTATCATTCAGCCAATTTAACAGATCATTCGCTACTGGATTTGTTAGTACATATTCAACAAATTGACGTGTGAAACTTCCGTAAAAACTTCCTTTGTAAAGAGTAATATTATGGGGTATTGGTGTTGTTTTCCTTCTTGTGGTAGGTTTTAAATAACCGCCATCTCGAAGTTCCCACCGCACTCCGCAGCGTTCTTGGAACAAATTATTGGCCAGAGGATACGTCTCAATATCATTCTTGCCATCAAATAAATTCAAAATTTTCACAATTTCCAAGTTCGTTTTTAGTGGAAATTCTTGGCCGGATAGATTGATATAATATTTCCAACGCACGGGTGATAACAAAAGTTGACGCATACACTGCATGTCTGCTAGCATTTGAGAAATATGTCCGTAAAACACATCTTGTGGGTTAGAAATAACGAAGACATTATCAAAACACGTGGATATGCTTTTCATGGACTCGTGAAGAGTCTGTGGTGAAGATTTATCAACGTGAAAACAATATACATTATGCGGCCTGTAAATTGTTCTCAAAAGAAATTCTGCTTGATTGGAATCAACGTGCATTCTTATAGAAAAAGCTAAAGGAAACTTCAGTTCTTGCCGTGTGACACGGTAGTTGTATCCCAAAGTTTCCTTGAAGTTGTCACAATTCCACGTGAAAAGTTGCATCTCTGCGTCTGTGAAAATGTGATGGGGCAAAACATACCGCCGTGACGATTTTGTCGCTCGTTTCTTCACTTCTTTGATGTGCTCTGTATCTCCTCTAGCAAGTAATGTGCAGTTTGCTTTATACGCTTCCCGCCTCTGGTGTTTGTAATAGAGAAGGGCGCATGAGCTATAACTGGACGCATCTTTCTCATTATCACTTCTGATATTGACAGATTTTGTCTTTTCTAAAAAGCTATAGCCAAGTTGCAATTTCATGTTCACAATTGTCCAGATGCAAAAACACAATAGCACGAGAAGTTTAGCTCTACGCGAAGAACCGATCTGAAAAAGTCGATGCGTTGCCATTGAAATTCATTACCGACATGAAAGCAATTTTGAAAAGAATCCACATTTTGCGAATCTGTATTTTATAATCCATTATACAAACCGTTAAACCTCAAAAAAGGCAAATTTACACCAATGAGTAGATCCATTCATGGCATACCAGTCAGTTACTCTAACCACGCGACCTTGTCAGGAATTAATGGAGTGTTGTATCCACGTCACGCACTTCTTAACTCTTGCAAACTACCAGGTCTTAATTAAGTTTTTTTTGTACCATGGCATACTCTTACGTGTCAGTGTACGCACTTCATAATGTCAGTTGCATAGGAAATTACATAGGTCTATATAATATCGTAGTTATAAAATAATAATCATGCATGGAATTCATTTTAAGTTATTATGAATTGATCGTCTTTCCGAAACGTGATTTAAATGGAGTTAAAATACTGTATATGAAGTTTTTTATACCTTGTCTGGTATTATCCATTTACCAATTTCAATATTATCATTCTTATTTTTTCTATACAATAAGATATCTATTGACAATAGGCAACAAATCATGTTTGGATAAAATATTTTTCGGAAATCAAGTCACAAACTTGTGGATTAATCTATACACGGTTGAATTCCAAAGCCTCAAAATTATGGAATTAACCACAAGATGGTTGAACCTCCTGCTTATTTGCACCTAGGCCCTTGAATAATATGGAAATTTTGTTCTATTCGTTCCAAAACAGTATATTTAAATCCTCATTGGCATTGCAATGAACTTCTTAATTTGCACATTTGTAGATACATAATGTGAAAACTATGCCGTAAGAACAGATTAGGATATAATAAAACAACTGTGTAAATGCAACTTTACTTATGGTTTCAACCCTCCTGCATAAGAAAACACTTCTTTCTTTTAACTCCCATTTAATGTCCATTAAATGATTAAATAATGCAATTTAGATTAAGGGCTTTCTGCCTTCATTCTCACACAAGTGGGCTACTTAATTTTTCAAAATGCAGATTCTATAAGAATTGTAAAACAAAATACAGGCATATCCTAAGCCAGTTTCTTCATTAGAAAAGGTTGTCCTGTTTGGAATAATTTATTTTATTTATCATACATTGCTGGTAGTGGAAGAGACTTGATTTTAACCTCCATTTATCATATCAGAAATATGGGTACATAATTTTATAAAATTAAGAAAAGGCAGCACTTAATAGTTTCAAGTGTTGCATTTTTGGTATTCAATAAATATATATAACATAAATGACATAATATATGGATATGGATGCTAAAATTCACATTTTCCTACAAGTCATAGCACTCAATATTAATAAAAGACTCAATGGGTGAATTAAAAAAAAAAAAAAAAAAAAAAAAAACTTCAGTTCTTTTCTTTGTGCAAAAAGATCTTGGTCACTGTCGTTTGCAGAAAACCACACAGTTATCCCAGGTATTCCAAATTGCTACAGTGGTCCATAACCTGCCCCCATTAACGTGTTTTCCTGAAACAAACCAAAAAGTTTTATGTAAAAACAATTAAACATTATGACCAATGGCTTTCTCTCATTTTCAACAGTGCAGCACTGTTGTGACCAAGGCTAATGGGTGTCATACCAGTACCTTTGCCAATACCTTGTGTTATACTGACCTTATTAATTGCTTTTTATGAAGAAATACTTCATATCATCTAAAATAAATCTAATTTAAAATAACTGGTGAAAAAAAGAACATAAATGAGATACTGAAATGTTTGATTCTAAAAGCATTATTTTTGTTGTTTGTTTGTCTGTAACTATTAATTTTAAGAAGTGTATCAACTATCAAATACATAGGCAAATATATACATGAACATTTCACTGTGAAATCATACTCACAATGAGATTATAAAATGTCTCATTCATCACTTGTTCAAAGAATTGCCTTTCAGTGTCATACACACTACTGTTTGTCCCAAGTTTCTTATATTTCCTCTCTAGACTGTCAACAACCATTTGTGATATCATTTTCCCCCTCTTGTCATCGGCTACCTTTTGATAGGCTTCTATATTACCAACTGCCTCTAGAAGGTTTTCATGAAGCTGGAATGAAGGCCAAGTTTTGTTAATGTTAATTCCACTTCAGATAAGTGAAGGCAAAGTATAAATGCACATTTAAATTGATGCAAAGAAGTTTTTATTCTGGTAACTTTGTCAAAACTTCCTCATTTTAGTAAATCAACATTCTACGATTGTTACGCATCTAAAACATGTGCAGTGCCTTTTAAGAGAATAATGTCAAAAAAGTACAAGATTAAACAAGTTGAAGAGCATTAAACAATATAATGTTTGTGTGTCCAAACTGCCAGTTTCAAAATCAGATATTATCTACTGAACCACAGTATTACTTACTGATACTGGGGGGTGTTCTGTAATATCATAGTGTGCGTCCCACATTCTGATTACTAACTGGCTGCTTTGCTGCAAGAGAAAATATTTTTATAATTCAAAATTCCCAAAATAATAAAAATCAGATGGTTAAAAAAATAAACAAACTTACTTACATATATCATTATTAGCCAAAAATGACCCAGGAGGTAAAATTAATATGAAAACAATATCATGTCAAATTAATTAATCAATTTCTTTTATAATGCTTCTGTATAGTCACATACATATTTGTTGCTGTTATTCCATTTCTGCTGCTTCAGAACCTCTTCCACTGGGCTGTCCTCAAATAAGGTCAGTAAATCTTGTGGCGGCTTGCCTTTGAATAGTGGTACATGATGCTCACCACACAAAACTGACCCTCTGTAATATAACAATATATACCATTTTCCAGTCTTTATCATACCCAAATGGTGTAATATAATGGAATGTAATTTATTGCAGTAGTATTCAAAATAATATTTTATTTAACACATGATAACAGCATATGTGCCATCCAAAACATATTGTTACTATTACCAGATATGCACTGAAATAGAGACAAATAAAACAAGTAAAACAATTTTGTTGTCATGAGTATAGCAGAACATTTTGTTATGGATTCACATGTAAAAACTTATAATGAAACATCTGCTTTTTGAGCAACAGTATGCTTAACTTGCAAACTGTCTAAAACATGCAATTTAATGCCTTCTCAGATATAAACAGAATAAAATTCTTTTTTTTTTTTTTTTTTTTTGCAAAAAAAGAACATTTGAGATACATAAATATTTGACTGCTTGTTTGGGATGTTGCTTCTGTAACTTATGATGTAAAGAACTTCAAGTGTATAAACTATGAAGTGCTTAAGCAAATACATTATGAACATTTCGCTGTTTAAAAAAATACCACCAGGTGTTATGGGCACTCAAGTATGAATGTTAAACGGAAAACTATAAGACTGAAATCTGATGATAAATTACTGATTTACCTTAATTATGTTTGAGAATGACCATTGTGAATGTGAAACAGAAAGATGGAAGTTTAAATGTGGTTAAACACTGGGCAAATGTTTCACCACCTCATTGTGAATTCAAATCCACATCCCTTCAACCATGTCCCAGGTAATAACTGCTCCAAGTTTACAAATCTTGTACAACATAAAAACTGTGTATTATTCTCAACTAGACAGTTTAATGAGCAATTAAACCATAGGACCAATTGGTTAAAAAATAAAAACCCAGACATATTAATCAGAGTTACAAATCAAAGTTTAGGCATGCAGAGGGTGTATAAATATAGGTTAAGTACCCTAGCATGCAGCCATCTCAGGTAGATAATATAAAATGCATGCACTGTTTTCAAATTGGCATACTTCATGATGTATGACCTTTTGAAATTCAGTTGTACAAATTACAATGAAACCACACACTGTAAGGAAAAATGGTGGCAATGGCCTTATTTTCACTGACCACTTCCTCAAAGAATTTTATTAATGGGTGTTTATTGCATTGTTGCCATACCTGCCTACTTTTAAAAATTTACTGGAGTGTCAGAAAATTTAAAAGAGAGTCTGCAACTATGGCAACTAATAAGGAATGCTGATATACTGAAGGCTTCTTGTGTAGTCACCAGTCTCAATGTACCTTACACTCTCACTACCAAAATATCAATATGAACCTTACCCTTCAAACAGTTGTACCACAGACCAGCCAAGAACACTGTCCAAGCTCAACTGACCCCCAGATTTGTCCACCACCTGTCCTGGGCTCTTGTGGTCAGCTGTCGGCTTGTATACAGCATTCATAGTGAAGACTTGGAGCAGCAGGATGGCGTTGGGGTCATAGTAGGGATGAACAACCTTTAATAAAAAAATCCAATCAGCTTTTAGCACATATTCACATTTCATTGTTCTAATCACTGTCTGCCTTTACAATCATTCTGAAGCAATTCTGACATTAATTTGAAAAACAAACCCAACCCTCTTCCTCTTTTTTTTTTCTTTCCCATGTGTTTATCACTATATTTTAATTTTTTTTTTTTTTTGCAAAATGCAATTGAAGATCAGATCATGGAAAGTTGTTTGTCAGCTTGGCTAAGTAATAACTCAGCCTGTTCAAAACCGTGCAGCAGCAATTCCTCACCTTGGGTTCATCCAGCCAGATAGGTGCTTTCTGCAGACTGTCATAGTCATGAGTTAGGGTGACAAATTTATAGTTAGGGTGACCAAATCCTTCCTCGGTGGGCTCCATGTCTTTAGTGGTGGCACCAGGTACCACCAAGCCAAAACATTCAACAAACAGACCCTCTGAAACACAGCAATGTTGAACATAATGCCAGGCACTTTCCTGATTTTTCAAGATTTTCAAAAATCTCTGACACTGTAAATCATTTAATGACTCAGACTATTATATGGCGATATTAACTGTACATTCACTAGGAACACATCTAAAATATATAAGTGAATTTCATGCAATCCATATGCTTCCGTTGCTGCACAGGCCAAGAAAAAAAAATCCTGGTAAAACATACTGACCCTTTACTGTGTGTGTTTAATAAATATTAGCAGGTTTAGTGTAAGTGCCTACCTGGCAGTCCAAAAGCCTGTGAAACCCTCACTGACAGCCCTACATTAATTCTGTACTTGACACACCGCATCAAGTCTAAGCTATTGGCTGGCTGCTTTGGAGGCAGATGGACCTTATTATCAAGACGACTCTCTATCCACTCGGACAAACTTCTGGTGGAATTATCTGCAGTAGAAATTAAACATGTCAACCATAAGATACAGACATTGCTTTATTTGTGTGCAGTCTACATGCTGTATTTTGGATAAATATTCTTCAATAATCATACTATTAATGGAATTTAGCTTTTCATGACATTATTTACTCAAATAATAGACATCCAAGAAACTGACATAAATTATAGTTTGCACAACGTTTGAAAAACAAGGAATAACTAACCTTCTAATTCATCCTCTTCCTTTTCCAGGAGCAACCTGGCAATGTCATTGACATTTCGATCAAAACTTTTGTCTTTCATGTAGCTGTCAAATATTCTCTCTTCTGACATGTATGGTTCACAGCTCTCTGACCTGTAGTATCCTGTTTGGTAGTCAGGAGCATCACTGTCATCCTTGAGAAAGGACAAATTTATAAATTATCATTTCTTGTATATATTAATGATTTATAATTTAAGTTGTTTATTAAAATATATCAAAATAAATAAAAAATATATTTGAAGCGTGTGTGAGTGTGTGTGTGTGTTTGTGTGTTCGTGCACGCGCGTTACATAAAAAATTAATATATCAAAAAAAATAATGTAGGGATGAGATTAGATGATGATGACATCTGCTGGGCTAAATTTTCACTATTCATAAAAGATAACAACAATGAAAAAGAAAACAGATGAAATAAAACAAATATAATTTGTAGCATACTTAAGACAAAAGCAACAAACCTGCAATCCAGGGAGAATCCTGATTAGTAAAGATGCACCTGGCACACAAGGGGCGTTATCTAGGTCAGTAACTTTGAGACCAGCGAGACCACTCCTTAAATCTGGCATTCCAGACCTCAGCCTCAGCTGCTGCCCCCCTACCAACAACTGGGACTGAAATCATACACAAAGATATTAAAATTGATCCAAAGTTCTTTTATATTTTTCTCTCAACAAATTTTTTAAATCATTCATTCGGAGCACTGCAGTAAGAACTAGATTTGAACTGTGCTTCTCAGTGGAATTCAACATAATTAAAGAAACTGCCTACTGCTCTCATAAAAATGCAAATTTATATTTTCTAAATTCCCTTATGAAAATTCAGTTATATAATAAGCCTTACCTGATCATCAAATATCCCAACTAGACAACTCCCAATGACCACTAGTTCTCCAGTGACAGTGTCCACTGTATACACTCTCAGTAATGCCACCACACCGGGGTCTATCTCATCCCCATTTTCATTGACATGTAGGCCAAACTTAAACTTTGGACATCTTGCTGGACTGGTCAGTGCTGGGAAGGCTAAGATGTCTGGAATGTTGGTCACATTACCAGTTTTAAGTACCCTGCCTGTGACCTGAAAGTATGAAATTAGCAATGTGAATTTTGGTTTGACTGTAAATTTATTTTCCATTTTCTATTAAGTATACAAATGACATAAATAAGTAAATAAATAAATAAAGCAAATACCCCATGTTCAAAACTTAAATCAAGAAAAATAATATTAAATATTAAAAAAGAGACATTGCAACAGGGAAAAATAATAAAATATATACTAAATTTACCTTGATGATGGTAGCATTATCAGGTATAAAGTTCACTCCATCTATAAACAATGTGAAGGGTTCATTGAGACCAGTGGGTGCTGGGTCTATCTCAGCAGCATGAGGGTTAAACGGCACCCAAGGCTGAAATCCTGGAGGAGTGGGCTCTCTAGTTCTGGAAATTGTGTTATCAACAATGTAATATGCAACTGAATAGAAATAAAGTACAAAAAATCGAGGATCCAATGCAATGTTCTTCACCTGGATTTTCCAAATATAGCATTCCAGTGATCAAAACAGCTTAAAACTAAAATGATGCACATTAAACTGCCTCACAGAATTAAAGTGTTATTTTTTCAAAGCCTCTGCTAATATAATATAATATAATCTATGTGAAGGAAAGCTGCCTTAAAGTTGACAGCCACAATATATTTAAGCAAAAAAAAAAAAAAAAAAAAAAACACTTTTTATTTGTTCCTGCTGCAGCTATTACAGTTTTTCATATATATATATATATATATATATATATATATATATATATATCATCATATCAAATATAAGCAGAGTAAGGCCTTCTAACTTTAATATACACTCAAAAAAACACAGGATTACCAACATCCCTAACAAAAAGACAATTTAAGTGATGTCATGTTTTCATTGTAATAAAGGCAATAATTTTCTTACATGGGGGTGCCAGTCTTAGATGCAGGAGTATCTACTGCCATTGTCGGATCATAAACCATAGCAGAGAGTTCACAGTTATCAGCCAACAGATCTGAAAAGAAAATTTAAAAAAATACTGAAGGGGTGGTCAAATGCATGCTCTGTAGAATAAACTTGGATAAAGTGGATGAAATGAAACAATATCTAATTATCTGGGTATGTGAAAAAATGGAGATGAATCAGGCTGTGGTTGCCTTAAAACAATTATCAATAGACAGTTGACTGATCAAATCCAGAACATTGTTAGCAATGCAGTGCTACTTTGGTGCTAACCTTGATGAGAAGGCAATGGTGTTCTTGGCTGACCATTAAGAATACTTTCTGAAACTGGACCAGAGTAGAGAGTATAGGAATACTCTCCTTCCAGAAGCTCCCACAAATGTGGCAATGACTGGCTGTCCTGACTGCTATGTTGGAATAGTGGAATTCTTGACCAACCTAAAGATACTCTGCTATTTCCTAAAAACAAATATCATTTTCCAGTATAGTTGATATAAATAAATCCAAAGTAGTTAATTGATAATATTACTCACAAGATGATTGAAGAATTTTTTGTGTTGATTGCTGTTATTTTTGATTTCAAACAATTTGTTCTGTTGCAAACGTGTAGTAAATTGATAACAGGTTAAATAATTAAAGGGTTTTCAAAAATCAACATTGTTATCAATCACTTTTCATAATGTATAAAAAGTCTTACCATTACTTGATCCTGGTGCATCATACTCCACCCTAACTACAGCATAAGGGAATCCTCCCATTTCCCTCTCCACGTCCAAATTAGTGGCATCCATATCAACAAATTCAAATTTTTCCTGGAGAAGGTCTATTGTGTACACCTTGCTGCCATATTTGTCTGCAGTGACACCACGACATGTGGGTAAAGTTCTGGACCACCTGGCACTGATTCTTATAGTGCCAAAAAACACACCTGCAAGGACTTTGATTGCAGAGGGGTCAAAATCAGCCAGCCATTCAACCTAAGTTTAAGAAAAAAAAAATACACATCAAAGATAAAATTCACCCATGAATTTTTGCAGAGCCACACGATATTCCAGATTTGCATATTTATCATATTATAAATGTCATAATAGTCTTACCTGACAAGGATTAAACAACAGTGGAACTCTTCTATCAAAATCCACATTTTCGAAAGAACTTCTTAAAACCATGTAAGTGAGTTACTCACCCTGTCCTGTACATCTGCAGAAAATATGAGTTTGATTCTGATATGTTTAATCCCCACAGGAGGCAGAGGGACCACAGAGGTGGTGGAGGGGCTGGGGGACCTGACCACTCTGCTGGGGGCAGACTTGACCACTGGACCAGGAGACCTGGTGAAGATACATACAACATCTGTGACCAAACAATTGCACAAAATGCTTTTAGCCAACTACTATGTACCCATATAAAACAAAACTGTGCATAAATACAAGAGCTATTCTTAAATTAATAAAAAGAGATGTTCTTACAAATGGAAACAGTTTCCTCAAATAAAAAATGTTAACTTAAACCCTTGACTAGTGTGATTACTTTTTCAGCTTAAGAATTCAAAATTGCTTCTTCAGCTCTGGTGACAGTAAATTGCTCTAATACTACTCTGTATGTTCATATAAGATGTTTTTATTTCAATACCATGCAAAACATGCCATTGATAGATTATCTTAATAAGCAACAAACAACTGAATTGTCTGAAAAGACCAACTTACTGTGGCCTCTGTCTGTTCATGTATGGCACATCCTCAGCATTGCCTCCATTCTGTAGGTGGATCCAGGCTCTCTGAATGTCTACAGTGTACAGCTTGCAGGGCTCTTTCAGAAATACCTGCACACAGACAAATATAAGAAAGCATCTTAGGAATGATTCGACTCAACTTTACAAAACATCAGTGGGATATTTCTACATAAAGTAGAATGTGATAAATTGACCAAACTTGTTTTCTGTTTATCAATGATATCATTTTTGTTCTCTTTATGGCAAACTTAACACGCATTTTTTAAAAATGCTTTTAAGTGAATTATTGTTTCATTACAAGCAGAATCAGGATGTAGTTATGTCTGTTTTTTTGGCATAAATATTTCTGATTATACGTTAAGATTGTTGTGTGGTGTTTGGAATAAAAGTTTACATTTGATAATTCTACACATAAATTTGATACCAATTTACTCATTTTTCCTTTCTCTACCTTTTTCATAGAATGATAGTCTGTCGCCTCCATGAACTTGTGTTTCAGTAGTAACAACAAAGCCAGGCAGACGTCATGCAGTACAGAGCTCCCCCAGCCCTGCATGAAACACTGGTCCCAGATCAGCAGCACTGCCTGGGTGTCCAACACACTCACAAACCCCTGAAATCATTATATTCACGATTAAATAAATAAAGAGAAATGTGCAATTGTTAAATGAGATATGCAACTGGATTTCTAATCCTACACACCACACAACAATCTTAACGTATAATCAGAAATATTTATGCCAAAAAAACAGACATAACTACATCCTGATTCTGCTTGTAATGAAACAATAATTCACTTAAAAGCTTTCAGACCATAATTACCTCTCCAATCCATTTTCTTAAAAAGATCAAAGGGTCTGCAAGCAGGTCTTTCGAGGCCTGGGACTGATTTCCTGACCTGGGGGTGGCTGCTGCTAATTCTTTGGCTTTGGTTTGTTCCAGATGCAACAACTGCACCAGGAATTCCTGTATTGGCAAATTATATATTATGTTTAATATATAGAAAGGCATTGAGTAATCATGTTTTGTCCTCCGTGAAAGATCTTTGGGGTGTAATATAAACTATATAAACTACAATTACTAATACAATTGTGAGTTAGGATATAACAGAAGCACAACAGTCAATTGAAAAACATTTATAAATACTGTATTTAAAAGATCAATATGCAATCTTAATTATTCAATTAATTACACAAAGTCATGTGAGAAATTAGAGCAGCAAGCTGTTGATCATACCTTAGGGTTGACTTTGACATTTTTGAAGGCTACAGTCCTCAGGTGGTCATGGAGCTCTGCGTCTACATTCAACAGAGCGTCCATAACTTTTTCAGCCACAGCGAACACTTCAGGCCACTTTGGGAAGCACGACTGACTGAACAGATCTAAGTACATGGCCAGTTCGTAGATGTGTTCTGCTAATACTGAAAGTGAAGCAAAATTGTCCATTACAAAGAATTTGGCATCTTAGAAAGGCTATTTACCAGCAAAATGAATCTAAAAAATAAAATTTACTAACTTGATTTAAGTTTAGCTTTTTTTCTGTTTTAAAGTTACTTTCTGCATTTTGCATTAAATATAACAAGACAGTGATAATACTGATATCAATATTGTCATGATATAAAAAGTACATATCTCCATACACTTTCTCATATTGATATTATAAAAAAAAAAACCAAACAGGTTACAAGGAGTGAAGAGCAATAACAAACCTTGATGATTTTGCTCTCTAAATGCAATCTGCATTGGAAACAGCCAATGTACCAGATATGGTTCGTATCGTCTGTCATACACATAAAGTACATTCAGACTGCGGGCAGATTCCTTCAAGTGGAGTTCATAATTAAATGGCATCATACTGGGTGTAGTTTCATAAATCTGCCAATAGAAATGTATCACAATTATATCTATGCAAATGTAAAAGGACAGAAACCATAGAAAGGTAACAGAGATCCTTATCCTTTTTTCAATGTGTTTATAGTACTTGAATCTTACTTTAAAACTTCATGTTTTTAAAACTGTAATGTGTCTAAGGATACAGAACAGTCAAAACATATACAGATAGGGTGAACTCCATACCTCGATAACAGCATTTTCTATCAGTCCATTGATTGGGGAATGTGTGGCCCTTTTGATGCGGAGCTCACCAACACCTCTGGCAACTGCTTTGCCAAAGCGTTCTCTCACAATCTTCTCAACATTCCTGAATAATAATACTGATCATGAATCACAATCAAGCAAACTTAAAGTTTTAGAAATAACAAAACTGATGTTTTCATGCATTTTCAAAATGCCCCTTCCCCTCTCCCCACACACACACACACACACATTTTATGGAACCATTTTCATGAAATTCACTTNGCCTCGAAAGACCTGCTTGCAGACCCTTTGATCTTTTTAAGAAAATGGATTGGAGAGGTAATTATGGTCTGAAAGCTTTTAAGTGAATTATTGTTTCATTACAAGCAGAATCAGGATGTAGTTATGTCTGTTTTTTTGGCATAAATATTTCTGATTATACGTTAAGATTGTTGTGTGGTGTTTGGAATAAAAGTTTACATTTGATAATTCTACACATAAATTTGATACCAATTTACTCATTTTTCCTTTCTCTACCTTTTTCATAGAATGATAGTCTGTCGCCTCCATGAACTTGTGTTTCAGTAGTAACAACAAAGCCAGGCAGACGTCATGCAGTACAGAGCTCCCCCAGCCCTGCATGAAACACTGGTCCCAGATCAGCAGCACTGCCTGGGTGTCCAACACACTCACAAACCCCTGAAATCATTATATTCACGATTAAATAAATAAAGAGAAATGTGCAATTGTTAAATGAGATATGCAACTGGATTTCTAATCCTACACACCACACAACAATCTTAACGTATAATCAGAAATATTTATGCCAAAAAAACAGACATAACTACATCCTGATTCTGCTTGTAATGAAACAATAATTCACTTAAAAGCTTTCAGACCATAATTACCTCTCCAATCCATTTTCTTAAAAAGATCAAAGGGTCTGCAAGCAGGTCTTTCGAGGCCTGGGACTGATTTCCTGACCTGGGGGTGGCTGCTGCTAATTCTTTGGCTTTGGTTTGTTCCAGATGCAACAACTGCACCAGGAATTCCTGTATTGGCAAATTATATATTATGTTTAATATATAGAAAGGCATTGAGTAATCATGTTTTGTCCTCCGTGAAAGATCTTTGGGGTGTAATATAAACTATATAAACTACAATTACTAATACAATTGTGAGTTAGGATATAACAGAAGCACAACAGTCAATTGAAAAACATTTATAAATACTGTATTTAAAAGATCAATATGCAATCTTAATTATTCAATTAATTACACAAAGTCATGTGAGAAATTAGAGCAGCAAGCTGTTGATCATACCTTAGGGTTGACTTTGACATTTTTGAAGGCTACAGTCCTCAGGTGGTCATGGAGCTCTGCGTCTACATTCAACAGAGCGTCCATAACTTTTTCAGCCACAGCGAACACTTCAGGCCACTTTGGGAAGCATGACTGACTGAACAGATCTAAGTACATGGCCAGTTCGTAGATGTGTTCTGCTAATACTGAAAGTGAAGCAAAATTGTCCATTACAAAGAATTTGGCATCTTAGAAAGGCTATTTACCAGCAAAATGAATCTAAAAAATAAAATTTACTAACTTGATTTAAGTTTAGCTTTTTTTCTGTTTTAAAGTTACTTTCTGCATTTTGCATTAAATATAACAAGACAGTGATAATACTGATATCAATATTGTCATGATATAAAAAGTACATATCTCCATACACTTTCTCATATTGATATTATAAAAAAAAAAAACCAAACAGGTTACAAGGAGTGAAGAGCAATAACAAACCTTGATGATTTTGCTCTCTAAATGCAATCTGCATTGGAAACAGCCAATGTACCAGATATGGTTCGTATCGTCTGTCATACACATAAAGTACATTCAGACTGCGGGCAGATTCCTTCAAGTGGAGTTCATAATTAAATGGCATCATACTGGGTGTAGTTTCATAAATCTGCCAATAGAAATGTATCACAATTATATCTATGCAAATGTAAAAGGACAGAAACCATAGAAAGGTAACAGAGATCCTTATCCTTTTTTCAATGTGTTTATAGTACTTGAATCTTACTTTAAAACTTCATGTTTTTAAAACTGTAATGTGTCTAAGGATACAGAACAGTCAAAACATATACAGATAGGGTGAACTCCATACCTCGATAACAGCATTTTCTATCAGTCCATTGATTGGGGAATGTGTGGCCCTTTTGATGCGGAGCTCACCAACACCTCTGGCAACTGCTTTGCCAAAGCGTTCTCTCACAATCTTCTCAACATTCCTGAATAATAATACTGATCATGAATCACAATCAAGCAAACTTAAAGTTTTAGAAATAACAAAACTGATGTTTTCATGCATTTTCAAAATGCCCCTTCCCCTCTCCCCACACACACACACACACATTTTATGGAACCATTTTCATGAAATTCACTTCTCAAAATAGTACACGTTGTGCTGCTATCTCCTGCAACACTTACAAATCCTTCATTTTCTGTCTTTCGGCTCTGAAAAGCACATCTATCCACATGTAACAGCGCAGTCCACCAGGCAACTGACGGCCATGTAGTCTGCGAGACACCTCTTCAAATCTGCGGGGGTCTCTCTTCAGTGTGGCAATCAGAGCAGTGCCCATCAGGTCACTCTGTGGTCCCCAGAAGGTAGGAGGCTCCCCAGAGACTTTGTGCAGATTAGCTGAAATAAAATAAAATAACATAAATAAATAATCTGAAATATTCTGCACTGTTATTATTTTTGGTCCCCAGAATGTAGGAGGCTCCCTAGAGACTTTGTGCAGATTAGCTGAAATCAAATATAAATGAATAAAGCATCTGAAATATTCTGTATTGTTATTATTTTGGGTCCCCAGAATGTAAGAGGCTTCCTAGAGACTTTGTGCTGATTAGTTGGAATCAAATATAACTGAATAAAGTATCTGAAATATTCTATAATGTTATTACTTTTGTTCCCCAGAATGTAGGGGGCTCCCTAGATACCTTGTGCAGAATAGCTGGGATCAAATGTAAATGAATAATTGAAACCATCTGAAATGTTCTTTATTGATATCACTTTTGGTGAAATAAATTCCAGCAAACAGCCACTAAATTATTGCAGAAAGAATACTCCTTTGCATTCCAGTTATAAAAATTTCATATATATACATAAGATATAAGAACAATCTCTAATGCTGTATAAGGCAAATGTTCTTTGTAATTTGCATAAGAACAATACTTCATAAAATGGACTGATAGATTGATTTATTAAATGAAAGTACACACTCAACACATTTAAAATTCAGACAAATATAACTTCAATTCTAAACCACATTTGGTCAAGGCATACACTTACCCTTAATATTTGATGTAGATGGCTTCTCTGAATGAATTGTACTATCACTGTTTGCACTCAGAGGGTGAAACAAGCTGGAGACTTTGGATGGCAAGGTATTAGCAGGTGCTTGGGCTTTCTTCTGGGTAAGGTCATCAAGCTTCTTTTGCTGGGGTTGAAGGAAAGGGTAAGATAATCTTGTCATATTAACTTTTTCATCTCTATATGTTTCATTACATTCTGCAGATTTTAATTATCTATTCTAATAATTTCAGATGCTGTTCTGTGCACCTAGTTTATAACATGTTAACAGGTCTTTAACTTGAGTGTTTTTGCGTTAGCAACCCAGTAATAAATTCAATAACATTTACACTCAATAATTATCATAGTTACCATCAACTGTAATTAAAAATATTTAACATGTTCAGTTCAAATGACTATTTCAGTATAATTTAATAATAAAGTCAACTAAAAATAACTTTAATAATAAAGTTAACAAGCAAATCAAGCCATTTATGTGTGATTACAAGTAAAGATGATGCATATAATGTTTCATACTGTGAGTTCTTTCTCCTGTAGGTACATCTCCCTCTCCAGGCCTTTGCTGAACAACTGGTAAGTATGTGTGAGAAACTCAATCATCTCAGGACAGGGCTCCTCTCTGGAAGAACAAATAATAATATACAGTAGAGCACATATTGGTAAAATGGAAAATGTGTTCATAATGTCCATTAAGAAAGTACTGCTACACAAGAACCACGTATGGGTTTTTACAGCAAAACAGCAAGTGCCATCTCCCTTATTAAATATTTAAGAAGCAGCAGCACACATAGCTTTCAAATTCATCCTCGACCGAAGTAATAAATTTTATTAACAATTTTTAATTGTTGATTTTTTTTATTATATACAGTATCTAAAATAAATGCCATATATTTGCATTATAAATTTATATCCAGCTTACTCTGCCTCCTCCCCAGCTCTGGGTCTATGGCATCGAGTCTCGCTGGCTGTTTTCTTCAGCTGATTTTGAAGCCAGGACTGGGCCTCTTTCTGCAGTTTATCTCTCTCATGCTTGGACATTGCAGGTGGATCCTAGAAATTCAGGAAACACCCTTAACCAATTCTTAATTAACAGAATGTTGGGAATTTCTTATTGAAGTGCAATATAAAATCAATGCCGTATACTTTTAATAACTGTGGTGATTTTACGTATTATAATAATTCAGTTAATTAAATCAATTTGGAATACATAATTATCTACAGTTTAGTATAGTAATTATTTAAAAAAAAACAACAACAACCTTGTTCACATCTTTACATCCTATAAATCATAAAAAATAATGATGAAAATAACAACAGAACGATATTTAGTTTTAATCTTTTCATTGGAACCTAAACCTTAGATGTTACAATGAAAAGATTAATACTAAAATCTACTCCAATTCAAATTTACCAAAACTGCAGCATCTTGTTCATAGTCTGAGAAATGCTTCTGGACAAATTCTGGTCCAAGCAGTTGAAAAATCATCTCCCTTCTATCAGCATGGTCAATTTGTCTCAGAATTTTGTCTGCAAGCCCTTTATTTAACAGCTCCTCGACCTGTCAATATTTTTAAAAAAATTATAATTTATGATGTGCTTTCACAGAAACAGTTAACTGGATAAAAGTTAAAGTTAAGGATCTCAAAACAAAAGTAAAAATTACTTCTCGTGTTTGTCAAAGACAATTATTTTGAAGTTTCCATGACCATCGTTTTTAAAATACATTTCAGTCATACACCTTTCAACATAGTCTCCAATGCTGACCACTGGATCTATGACAAAAGCCAGTAAAATTGGTGCTGTTGCAAAAATTTGTTCATTTATTCAGTTACTGACAACTGTTTCTGCTTTGGGCCAGTAGATTCATAGACCCTGGTTCACAGAAGGGTCAGAAATCTTTTTGGTACACACTGCAACACACATCATTTTAATACTTAAAATATTATATTTACTCATCACAAAATTGACAAAAACTGTACTATTACCTTCATCCAAGGTGAGTTTGTCAAAAGAGTCTCTTGATAGCTAGAATCCATCCACTGGAGACCAAATGGCTTGCCAGTGTCTCTGGCCTCAGATTTGGCATACATTTCTTATTCTCAAAGGGAATTGTGCTTTATATCAATCCATTAATAATCTCTCCCTCCTTTGAATAAAACTATATGAGATCAATCATGAGGTCATGGTAAAAAATATCACAGGTGAAATTAAAAAAAGATCATGCTCTTATATATGTATATATAGATCACATGGCTGAGTTTTTCAGATACAACTGTTTTTGATTTGTTTTTGGATATATAGGCTGGTCAGTTCTCTATAGTGTCTTTCATGAGTCACATTTTGAACTCCAATTTTTTTTCTCAAAATATCAGAGACCAGGCAATATTTCTCATTTCTTAGCTATAGCAGGCTGAAGAACAGGTTGTTTGTCTCCATAGCAATGTTTGTTCTTGGGGTCTCTGTAAGAGTTCTCATGCTGCACACTCTGAAATTTTAACAGAAAAACTTAGTTAATGAACTGAATAAAAATTGTATTACCTTCACATGCAATGCAGGGAGTAGCATGGAAATAAATGACAGCAAAAAATATATAATTACACTTCTGCCTATGTTTTAAAAGTACTAATTCAAATGTAAATTGATGATGAAAGTGTCATTAGATATTATTTGTCTACCATGATTATGTTCAACATATAACTGTAATGTAAAATATTTACTTATCAAAATTTAGAAAACTGAAATGTCTTCTCTATCCCTTTACCTGTGAGTTAGTTCTGCACTTGGTGAGGCAAAGTTCAAAATGGTCTGTGATCGAGGCATAAATTTGACTAAAACTGGAGTCTACTGCTTCACTTAATATCTTTCGTAGTAACTGTTGCTGGAATCAAAAATCAAAGGCATTAATATAATAAGAATTCAATACATCAGACAGATCGCATCCTCCTTTATAATTTCTTATAGTTAAGTATGCTATGAAATAAGGCAAATACTTAAAAAAAAAAGGCCTTCATGAATTCCCAAATTATTGACTGCATCTCCTTGTGAAAATATATGGTATCAACCATTCATTTCTATTAGAGAAACATGCATCTGTAACAAAAAATTCTAAAATTTCTGATACCATATATTATCCATAAAAATGCCTTCTCAATAACTACTAATCCCAAAATGTTTTATACCTTTTCAGGATGCAAGCAACAAGACACGCAGTACTCATAAAGAGCACAGCAGCCCCCCTCAGTGCAGGTTTCACAGGTGTAGTGTTTTGTAGATCTGCTCAGTGTATCACAACAAGATCCTGGCAACAGGTCAGATCTATCACACACATATCCTGGAACCAATAACAGTTTATACAAAATGATGATAATATATTGATATTTTTTGTGTTCAAAGTTACTATAATTACCTCGTAAATCTTTGTTGGTTTATGTGCATTTATCAACTACTGAATGAAATGTTTTATTCTCAGGTGCAAATTAAAATAAATATTAATCTCAAGATTTGAAAGTTTAATTCTATGTTGTCCACAACTCCTCAAACACGTACAAAAAAATTCCTCCTAAATATAGCCCTAAAAGTTTTTAACTTAATGAAAGTCATACCTCTGTCATCAGCCACTAAAAGTTTCCCCTGAACTGAATTTCTACAAGTTTTTATTTTGCTTGCATTTGCACTTTCAAATTTGGGCTGCCACTTGAACTGTTCAGGAGCTACACGTAGGGGTTTCCTAAGCCGATATTCTTCTTGAGTTGAAAAGTCTTTTGGATGCTGCAAATAAACCAAGAATAAGTTGAGTATGACAAGCCTTATGAACCGACCATGGCTCGAACAGGATGAGTAAGTAAGTAAATTGAGTTTTTAGTTTATTAAAGTATTTGAGAAATTTTTACAAGGTTGATAATATCTCCTTTACACGGGCGCCTTTAGCTTTTGACTAGTACACAGGGTTTCTCAAAAGCGCGAAAATCGACCAAAAATAAAACATTTTATCATCGTAACTGGTTAATGGACGAGCATTTTACCTGCTTGTATATATTAGCCAGGAAATACAGAACCGACAAGCCAAATACCACAGCTAGAAACCATCTTCTTCGGAATGTTCTTGAGTTAAACATTGAGCCGACATTTCACGGACTCGCAGGGCTGTGTTGTGCTTATAAACAAAGTAAATATGACAAGGGAATCCTTTAGTTTCGGAAATATTTAATAAATTGGAGGTCTACGAAACACATTTATTTTAGTAAAATAGGTATTCTGGATAAAATATATATCATTTTTGTAACAATTTCAGCAAAATTATCTGTAAAAAGTCGTGCATATTGTACAAAATAATACGAAACTAATTCTACGGTTGATTCTTAACTGGGGAATTTGGAAATCGTGATGTACAAGTGTAGTGATGATGTGGTTCAACTTATGATTCTTCGATGATTAATTCACTGTAAGGTATTGATAGTATAAACATATTTAAGCAGTTGAATATCATAAGTGTCATTTAATTAGGTAAATAAAGTAGACGCCTACTCTTGCCCTTGATACAAAACTTACTTTCGACAGTGCTAGGTTTATCGAACTGGTGTTCAAATTAATCTTAGATTGATAAAGTCCAAAGTTTTATACATGAGAGGCAACGTAATCAAGGAACTAACACACCAGGAATCTGTCGAATATTTCGTACAAAGTGGATTTTAGCTCTAAAAGTGTGTAATTTTAACTTGTATTTACACAAACTGGGCAAACTTACATCATGACTTATGACTTTCAGTTTCAGCCAGCAAATAAGATGGCAGAAGGGAGGCAACCACAAACAAGGACATTTTCATGGAGCTTGGATAACATGCCTGTCAACATGCCCACTATAAACGCTCAGGCTAGACTGCCAGGAAATATTGGGAATGTTTTGAGGGAGCTGGTCCCTGGCCTAGAAGGGCGGCCGTCATCAACTCCAAACCCGTATCTGCAGGCACAAGCTCAAAGAGCAGCTGATATGTCAAATGAAGCCCCAGCTTCTTCTTTTGTAATAAATATTGGTCAAGATGGTCAGGTTCAGAGAGATGGTATTTTGAATGTTGAACAGTCTGTGCATTCCGCTGAACCACAGTTAATAGGTGGTGGTCAGCTGGAAGGAGGACATTCTCCTGAACCTAATAATACTGCTGCTGAAGACGGTGGTCAAGAGGGTCAGCATGGCCATACACATGATACTGACAACAGAATGGACTGGAGACAGGGAAAGAAATGGCTTGAAAGAAGTCTGATTTTCATTTTGTTGATGCTGTTGAAAGTGACATATAATCATCGCCTAGGTAAGCATTGGCACTGATGGTGCCTATGAATCTATAGACTAGGGTTTTAGGTATAATTTTTCAGGTACAGTATGTAAACAGAGTCATATAGGCGTGGATGATGTTTTAAATGATCCATGATAACTGAAAAAATCAGAATGAAATTATGATCATCATTATGAATTTTAGTTTTATTCCCACTAGAAAGGAATTTTGTAGAGAATCTGTCATTTCATATCAGAAACATTATGGAAATTGTAGAATTAAGTGCTTTTATGTAGAATTGTAAAGTACATTGTTTAATTGCACATGCAATATATATTAAGCCCTATATATGATTATTTAATAAATCTATCATTAATATCTTTACAGGGTTGCTTGTTTTTGTTGGGTTGTTTGGGACATATTACCATGCAAATACAACTGTTAAAAAGCATATTGCACAACAAAGGGTAAGTTTTCTCTCTCTCTCTCTCTCACCCCCCCCCCCCCCTCTTTTAATTAATGAGTCAAAAGAACCATTCTTGGAGGTCGATTAATTTCTATTTTTTTTTCTGAAATACTGTTCACTTGCCTGACAAAAACATACACAATGGCAATACATTTGAATTTATTTCAGGATCACCATAATTCTGCCCGGTCACTGCTGTTGTTGAGTTGGATAGTGATTTTCTTATGTGGAAATATTGCTCTTGTCTACTATGTATTTGAAGATCAGAAGCTTTGGTTAGCGTAAGTATTTTCCATAAACACTTCAAAATACTAAATGGATTCTTCTCACAACTTTTCATGTAGAGAAATGCATAAATTATCATTAAAAGGTTGATATACAGAAGTGCATACATTAGTTTTTGTCCTAAAATGTATATATAATACAATTACCTTTTCTAAAAATGACATCATTTTTGAAAATTTTCAGTCTAATCTTAAACTTACCTAAAGTTGGCCGAATAGACTTCTGGACATTACTATGGGTTGTTGCCATCACAGACTACATTGTGAAATTCGCCTCTATCACTTTAAAGGCACTTATAGCCATGCTGCCTAGAACCTTTATACCTTATAAAAGAAGGGTGAGTTATGATCTTATTTCAAAGCAAAACAGTTCATTGCCATGTTATAATCATATTATGTATATATTATATCTTTTGCTTTCTCAAATTAAAAAAAATTATTTATTTATTTGTTTATTATTATTATAATTTTTTTTGTAAAATCTAAGGATATAACAGTTATTAAAGGCAGTATTTGGTATAATTTCCATGATGCATTTAAGTAATTTTAGCATGAATTTTTTTTTCAAGGGCAAATATTATATGTTCATAGAAGAGGTGTCCCAGTGCTATCGTTGTGTTACTCCTATTGTGCCATGGGTTTATTTCCTCAAAGACACAGAACATGGGGGAGAATGGTTCTCCATTTTCCTGCTCATTGTATATTTTATTGCAAAAGTAAGTCTTGTGATTGACACTGTATATACTGCATTATTTACAAAACAACTTTCGTTTTATAGTAAACTTAAATATAAGGTGTATCATTAGTTTTAAGATAATTCCTAATACTGTCTTGAATTACTAATATAAATCATTATGCTGTATTTTCTCAATGATGATCATTTTAAGGTAAATCTTGTTGTTTTATTCAGGGCATACATTAAGCTGTATGTTTATCTTTATCATTTTTGATTGTAGGCCAACCTTGTGTGGCAGAAGTCAAAAGATTTATATAAAGCCTGGAAAAAAGTCTGTACAGATGTGGTAAGTTGATGAACAAGTGTATGGTCTTAGGTATTTATTAGAAACCAGTATCAGTATATGTGGATGTCTAAACAAGCTATTGCATATATTGGGACTGTGATATGTGTGTGTGTGTGTGTGTTTGTGTGTGTGTATTTTCTATCTTTTGAGAAAATGGGCATGTTAAAGGTATACTGTGATGAAAAAACGGGTTTAAACTATTCATTAGGTGCCCGAAAGTCATTTTTGAGTAATGAAAAAAAAGTTTTTACGTTTATTTAGTTTTTAAAGCCGATTTTATGCAGGTGTGAATTTAGTTTATGATACTCCCGTGTGGTGGCGCTTTGAGGCGAGTGACGTCACTTGCGTCGAGGCTCAGAAAGCCATATTCGATTCAGCTATCCGCTTGCTAGCAGTGCAAACTAAAAGCGATACACGCAATTGATTACTACATGATCATTTATAAATTCAAACTTTTGAAGATAGATACACAAAAGAAGATGAATTCCCTACGTGGTTATCATTTATTAACCAACAAAATACACCAAAACTATGTTAACAGTAAAGGTTTGGAAGCAGGGCAGCGAACATAGTTTTTCACACATGCCCATCTGTCGCGTCGGCTGAACGTTCTTATCCCGACTGATAAGAGAAAGTTGCCTTATAATGCAGGTGTGACAGCTAACATTATTTTTCACACCCGTGCAGTTTACCAGTGTCATTCCGGGAGAGCCAGGTCAGTGGACAAAAGGCCAAAGATATCGGACTGATAGCATCGGACACTACATTTCACACCTCTGCAACTTACCTCGCTACTTCCGCCTTACACGTGATCAGTGCAGCAGTATGTCGAGTAAAAATTTGAGTCCACTATCATGTTAATATTAAAGTTTTCACTAACATAACCAAAAAATTCGACAACGTAATTCTGCTACGAACTATTTTTGGGCTCTAGAAGCTGCTCTCTTCTTCCTTTCGACGGCCGCATCATGCACACATCCTACAGGTAAGACTCTCGTCGGCAGCGCTCTGGCATTTACTGTCGCATTTTGGTACTCCGAAAAATCGAATATACTGGGTACAGCATCATCTTTTAGTTTTCTCCGTGCTTTTCCACCGCACAATTCAGCTCGCAGGTCACGTACGAAGCATTCCGGCTCGAAGTGGTCGCTACAGATCCTCGCGTGTTTTGACACTGTGTTGGGATTTTTTAACTTCAGAGAATTGAGCCAAATTTTACGTTTTGCGGCATCCGCAGGCAGGATATAATAGCAGATGTCTTTCTTATCGTAACCTACATTACGGCACCCGGGAACAACACAACTTTGCGGCATTTTGTTTTTCTGACACCTGGATGTTTAGTCACCTACTGCATAGTATATACTATTACTAGTACAGCTGTGGGAAGCTACTACCCAGGTTACGTCACTAGGAACTGCCCAATCAGAATTTTCTCATCTAAATCTCATCTTTTCTCTCTAAAACTTAAAAAGAACAATTTTTTGACGTCGATTTATAGTTTTTATACTGTAAAAAAAAGCAGTGAACGCTATGTGTTCCTAGAGCACAGTAGGCCTTTAAGATATAATTGCTGTAGCACAATGTATATTCTGTCTTTTCCTTGATAATTAATTCAATCAGCTGCTAAGGTTAATTATTGCAATCCAGTTGGAAGTAGGTGCTTTAGGCTGTGTCACCAACTTCATTCCCATTTTCTGAAGGTGACTTGACAGAATTCAACATATCCTATCCAACCAAATTAACACTGCTGATGAATTTATGTACTGAACATTTTGTTTTGTTGCAGAATTATGGAATATCCCCAAGTAGAGAGGAGATGTCAGTGGCTGGAGGTGCATGTCCCATATGTCAAGATGACTACAGGGATCCAGTTATGCTGGCCTGCAAGGTAAGTGTTCTCACTCTGTTTAATGTGTGCTTTTAATTTGGACAGCATGTTTTTATTTTCCTGTAGTCTGCTTTTTTGTTGCATGTATACTTACTGTGGAAGAATATTTAGTGTTTAATTGTAAACTTTGTGCAACAGATGTAACTTGTTTATTTTGTACAGTATAGATTTTTTCAAAGTATTAATCAGTACACGCATGCTTGCACACAAACAAAATGAAAAATTGAAATATGAATTGATAGTGTACCACCACAGAAAATACGATTTTTTTTTTCATTTTCTTTTGCAGCACATTTTCTGTGAAGACTGTGTATCAATGTGGTTTGATCGTGAAAGAACTTGTCCTATGTGTCGTGCCAACATCGTAGACAACCCTCTCTGGAGGGACGGAACCACTGTTGCTTCCATAATATTTTGGTGAAGTCTCATTTTATCTCTTGATGTGAAGTGAAGAGGTATTTATGATTGCAAATATCACCAGCCAGACTCCCAAGCAGTTTCTGTTAAGATGGCAACTGTCTAAAATGTGATTTTCAGCATTTAGTTCCACTTTTTTTTTTACTTCATTTTTTTAAAATGTATGTATAAATTTACTCTGCCAAATATTGGATGTGCTGTGATGGAACAGAAAATAAATGAGATTTTGACTTGCAGTTGGTTTAAAAGGCAGTCATTTAAAAGTCTTTCTAGTTATTTCTGTTAACTTCTTGGCCTGATAATGCATGTCTGTTGAGCTGTTTAAGAGTAATAAAAATCCACTGTAGATTAGAAAGCATGGAGATGGTGCAATAAAAGTTTCATTAAAATATCTTAGTAAGTTGTGTTTTGAAGCAACTGATATGTTTTGCTTACTATCTAACAGAATATGAATACTGTGTTTGGTCCTAAAGTTTAATATGTTTATTTATTTATTTATTTATTTATTTATTTATTTATTTATTTATTTATTTATTTCACAAAGTGGCTGATACTATTTCATCACTTGAGGTAATACTTGAGAAGATAAATACAGCTGTTACTACCGTAGGTAGATATAATGTGCTTTATTTAAAAGGGAGTACAGGTTGAAATTACATTTAACAGCAGGCAACTTGGTGTATGTTGAAACATGTATTAGTTGGATGTTTGTGTAGAACCAAAAACGATGACATAGGTTATTATAATATGATTGACATATTATACATGTAGATTGAATTTAATTTTACATTCCATTAAAGTTTTTTGCATGTGTTATTGCATCCTAGACTTGAGAAAGCTTATGCCATTTAGAAAATATGTTTTTTAATCATATTAAAGAAATCTTAAAAGTATGTCCGATTTGTTAACCACTCATCATTCATTACTTTATTGACTATTATGGAATTTTTATTTCTTTTAATCAATTACAATATTACAAATACAATACAATTCAGACAAAGGCAAAATTGAGTTCATCTTGATCTCACATGTTGAACTAGTTAGTACCTCTGATTTTAAGCTTTCCATGTTTCATAGTGCATTGACACATATTAAGTAAGTCCTAGGTTACCAGCTGACTCTTAGGGTGCATTCACAATGAATTTATCGTACTAGCTAGTGTGCACCAACTCCATGGGGACTCTTGCTTAATGCAATCAGATTAACAGGCTTTGAGTAGAATACAGAAAAGTTGGTGATTATACGAGTGTGTTGAAACAAGAAGAGATGTGTTAATTTGATTACATTCAGTGCTTACTAGTATGAGAGATTCATTGTGAATGTACCCTTAGAGCTCATTCTCAACGAATTAAGCCAGGCTTTACAAAGCCGGTGACCTAAAAATGGCGGACGTACATGAAAGAAAAACCGCCTAATCTTTTAATAGTCTCTCCGCCTCTCACATGCCTCCCCACACGTCGTCCCTGCGGGGTACTGTAATTAAATCTCGGCTCCGAACATTAATATTTCCATGAATATCTCTGGTGATATTATCTCTGTAGATAGTCGATTCATTGCTGCTCTACGGGCCAAATTATTCCTTTTTAGTCTCTGTTTTCAAAGATAATAGAACAGAAGAGCTTTTTTCCTTCGATCGCCTTCAGCCGCCATGCTTTCTTCACCACGAGTTTAACTGATGAGCATGCGCACTTAATATTTCTCAGGTAGCTTCCGCATGGCGAACGGAGACGCGATTTAATTACTGTACCCCGCAGGGACGACGTGTGGGGAGGCATGTGAGAGGCGGAGAGACTATTAAAAGATTAGGCGGTTTTTCTTTCATGTACGTTGCCATTTTTAGGTCACCGGCTTTGTAAAGCCTGGCTTAATTCGTTGAGAATGCGCTCTTAGGCAATGAAGGACGAAATCTATAATAAATAAATAAATAAACTATCTATTAAGTATCAGTGTGGATATTGAATGATAAGAAGAATTATATTAATCAAAACAGAAAACATCAGTTTAAGCAGATAATTAAATGAAATATTTATTAAGCTGCCAAATATGTGTGATCTAATTTGTTGGGTGATTGATGCATTGCATTAGGAGAGATGCAGAATTGAGCCAGAGAATGTGTTGGAAAATGCC